TGGAGATTTCCTATGCAAAGGTTACATTCAAAACCGGCTGGCGAATCAACTGTTCAGTGTTTACAGTGAGGCCGAATCTTCCAAATATCTATGGGATGCTCTGGAAAAGAAATACAAGTCATTCAATGTAGGCTCTGGGAAATTTGCTACTGGAAAATTTCTCAAATTCGTGATGGTTGATTCAAAACCTATCATGGATCAAGTGCACGAGCTACAATTGATCTGTCATGAGATCACTGAAGAAGGGACGAAGCTTTGTGAGACGTTCACAGTCAACTGCTTCATTGAAAAGCTCCCTCCAAGCTGGGCAGATTTCAAGAACTATCTTGCTTACAAGCAAAAACCCGTGACGTTGGCAAATCTGATCTCTAGGCTTCAGAATGAGTCACTAAAACGTGAAAAAGAAGAGTCGACTCAAACTCATGATGCCAATGTCGCTGAGCATAAGCACAAAGGCAAGGGAAAGGCAAGATTCCAAAAATATGGGCAAAACAAGCTTGCTCAACAAGCACCCACGAGTTTCAAAAAACAAGCTCAACATCCTACGGCAAACAAATTTCCTGGGAAGTGCAACTATTGTGGCAAGATAGGACATAAATCCTCGGAATGTCGTAGAAAAGCTATGGGGAAAAATCAGGCTAACCTAACTGAAGCTGATCTGTGCGCTGTGGTCAGAGAAGCCAACGTTGTTGAAGGTAACCCTAAGGAGTGGTGGTACGACACATGTGCTACTACACACATCTGCATTGACAGAGAGATGTTTAGTACTTATCAGAAATCCAAAACTGATGATCAGGTGAAGATGGGAAATATCTCCCAATCCAAGATTGAAGGTACTGGAAAAGTAGTGTTGAAGATGACTTCAGGAAGGGAGGTTACTCTGACCAACGTGAAACATGTTCCAGACATGAGGAAGAATCTAATTTCTGGATCTCTTATGAGTAAGCACGGTTTTGGAATCAACTTTGAATCGGACCAGCTGATCCTTAACAAAACCTTTTTAAAGGAAAAGGTTTTGTTAAGAATGGACTTGTCAAGATGTATGTAATGACAGTCATTCGAAAAAATGATGTACCTGATTCCAATGTTTCAATGAATAAAAATCCAGTTGCTTATGTCGTTGAGTCTTCTAATATTTGGCATGAAAGATTGGGACATGTAAATTACAAGTCTGTACAAAGACTAATGAATATGAACATGATCCCAAAGTCCAAAATAAACAAAGACAAATGTGAAGTTTGTGTCCAAGCAAAACTCTCGAAAACACCATCACCTCATGTTGAACGAACAACTGAACCTCTAGGTTTAATACACACAGATTTATGTGATTTAAAGTATTTACAAACCAGAGGCGGTAAAAAGTTTTTTGTGACTTTCATAGACGATTGCACAAGATATTGTTATGTTTACTTGTTACGAAGTAAAGATGAAGTCTTGGACAAATTCAAAGAGTATAAACTCGAAGTTGAAAAACAACTGGAAAAGACTATAAAATAGTCAAAAGTGATAGAGGAGGTGAATATGATGGACTCTTCAATGCTTTCTGTCAAGAAAACGGCATTATCCATCAAACGACTGCTCCCTATTCACCAGAATCAAACGGACTGGCGGAACGAAAGAACCGAACTCTAAAAGAAATGATGAATGCAATGTTGCAGGAATCTGGTATAGCCCAGAATCTGTGGGGGGAAGCGCTGCTCACCACAAACTATATCCTCAACAAAATACCTCATAAGGTAACTGGAAAAACGCCATATGAACTTTGGAAAGGTAATGCACCTTCGTACAAATACCTCAAAGTGTGGGGGTGTTTGGCAAAAGTCGCAGTGCCACCTCCGAAAAAGATTTCAACTGGACCTAAAACCGTGGATGCTCTATTCATTGGTTATGCACACAAAAGTAGTGCTTATTGATTTCTGGTAATCAAATCAGATGTGCCAGACATCCATGTTAACACGATTATGGAATCAAGGAATGCTTCATTTTTTGAAGACATATTTCCATGTAAGGATAAACAACATCCGAAACGCACTCGTGAAGAAAGAGATGCGGTCACCTCTGTTAACGAGGCAAGTACTTCTGGAACTGCTGTAATCGAAGTAGAAGATGTTGTAGACGAACCTAGACTAAGCAAGAGAGCTCGTAAGGAAAAGTCTTTTGGCGAAGATTTCATTATGATGGCATTTCTCACTGAGAGTGATCCAAAATCTTACGCAGAAGCCATGTCTAGACCTGACGCAGACTTCTGGAAAAAAGCAGTCAATAGTGAATTTGATTCTATACTACAGAATCATACCTTCGAGATGGTTGATTTACCTTCAGGTTTTAAACCACTAGTGTCTAGATGGTTGTTCAAAAAGAAGTTGAAAACCGATGGCTCAACTGATAAGCACAAGTCCAGACTTGTGGTGCAAGGACATAGACAAAAAGAATGTCTAGATTTCTTTGACACTTATTCTCCAGTAACGAGAATAACTTCAATTAGACTCCTCGTAGCAATTGCTGCATTGTGAAATTTGGAAATCCATCAAATGGATGTTAAAATTGCTTTTCTAAATGGAGATTTAGAAGAGGAGATATACATGAAACAACCTGAAGGTTACGTGGTTGCGGGTCAAGAACAAAAAGTTTGGAGGCTCCTAAAGTCGTTGTATGGGCTGAAGCAAGCTCCAAAACAATGGCATGAAAAGTTTGACAATGTTATGATGTCAAATCATTTTCGCATCAATGAATGTGATAAATGCATTTACTACAAAAGTACTTCTAGTGGGTATATCTTACTGTGCTTGTACGTGGATGACATGCTCATTATTGGTAGTAATAAAGATATCATCCAACAAACCAAGAACATGCTCAAGAGTCAATTCGACATGAAAGACATGGGTCATGCGGATGTTATTCTTGGCATTAAAATCACAAGGACTCCTGAAGGGATAACTTTATCTCAAGATCATTATGCTGAAAAGATACTTGAGAAGTTTAAGACCTACTCTAGTGGAACTGCAAAAACTCATGTTGACGCTATGTTGCACTTGACCAAAAATGTTGGTGAGACAGTATTACAAGGAGAGTATGCACGAGTAATTGGAAGTCTGATGTACTTAACCAATTGTACAAGACCTGATCTAGCGCATGCGGTTAACGTATTAAGTCGCTACACATGTAATCCAGGTCACACACACTGGAAAGCCATAACCAGAGTATTGAATTATTTGCGATACACCAAAAGTTATGGGCTGCACACGGTAAAGAACCAGCAGTCTTAGAAGGATACAATGATGCAAACTGGATATCAGATTCAAAGAACTCAAAATCCACGAGTGGATATGTCTTTACACTTAGAGGTGCAGCAATATCTTGGAAATCTTCCAAACAAACTTTGTTGGCTAGATCCACCAAGGAATCAGAGTTCATCGCTTTAGATAAAGCAGCAGAAGAAGCAGAATGGCTTCGTAATCTCTTGGAAGATATTCCAATGTGGGAGAAACCAGTCCCAGCTCTACGCATACATTGCGATAGTCAGTCGGCTATAGCTCGGGCATTGAATACTCACTATAATGGTAAATCGCGTCACATTCGACGACGACATAAGACCATTAGACACTTGATCTCAACCGGTGTTATATCTGTCGATTACATCAAGTCAGCTGACAACCTTGCGGATCCGTTTACCAAAGGTTTAACAAGAGATCAAGTACTAAAATGATCTAAGGGAATGGGTTTATTGCCTACTACTAAGAAGATGTTCGATGGAAACCCCACTGACGTGATTAGAGATCCCAAGAGGTTGGTTCAAAGGGAAAACTAAGTCAAGCAGAATCTGTTAAAAGCACTGAGAATTACTCAGATCCCAAGATGATAACAGTGCTTTCTGTAGATATTAAGGTAAAGCAATGGCTTTTTAATGAGATAAGACCATAAATCTTCATATACATGTATATAATGTATAACAGGATACTTTTGTGTATGTGACATGTACTAATGGCAATCACCTAGTGATTGTGGAATGGGGCCGTTTCTAGGAGGAGAAGTTCAGGCAAGACTCTCCAAATTCACTCATGACTACCAGGCAAGTTCAAGGCCAAAATGAACACAACAGAGAACTTAACTCTACGAGAAGATGAAGCTGTGTTACATCTGCTGTCTCGGTTCACACAAAACTTCGGGTGGTTCAAGACATCACGTTCACTTTCTGAAATGTAGATCCGGCAGATTCTAACAATGGGTGGTTCAAGGCTTGAATACGCTACTACCTCAGATGCAGTCAGTCTTCACTTATACTCTCGAAAAGTCTGTCTAGTCTAGTGTTAAGTCTAGTCAGTAGAGTCTATCGAGTCTGCATAATCTTGTCATGTCTGCATTATCTAAATTAATTTCTATTCATGTGGAGGATTGTTGGAACCCAAATTTATAAGCCCAATGGCATTATAAATTTGGGTTCCAACAATCCTTAACGATTTCTTAAACGTTTTTTTCGTCTCATCTTATCGTTATACGATTTCTATTTCGTGATTTTCAATCAGGATTTTCGCGGTCCTACAGAAACAACGGTCTAATCTGTTGAAGTAGGTTTCAGCAGCGGACACGCCTTTGGTCTATGCTATACGGTTGATACGAACTCCATGCTAGGACGCTGATAATGGCATTTTTTGCTTACCGAGAAAATTAGCGCAGCAAATGAGATCTGTTTTATTGACTGTAAAACCCTCCTCCCTCATGAGCTCACGTAACATATCCGACACGTTACCTCTGTTGTCTCTAAGTTCCGACAGCTTCTCATATATCTTCTTCTGAATCATTTTCCTATGCTTAAATTTTTTCTTCCTCTGAAGCCTTTGGAGCAGAAAGGGTGTCCGCATGAGCATCAGCCCTCTTCCAGATGCTACGAGAACTCTCCATGCCAGCAGTGATCGCTGTCCAAGACGAGAACATGAAGCCATAGAAGATTTTCCATCATTGAACATAGGCAGTGTGGCTTGGTTACTTGTGATTCTTCATCTTCATTCTCTAGAGATATTCCTCTGTTCAATCTCATTATAGACCTCTTTTACCTTATCGAGTTGCTTCATATGGTAGTACATATGAGTCATATCATTAAATGGTGTCTTGCTATCAAGAAAGTTGAGATGATCCATCTTCTTGAAAAGAGACTTTGCCTTGTCTTTCTTTTCTTCCGGACAATGCCATTTAAGGAGTTTCCTATAAATGGCCTGGCTCTTGGCATTCTCGTCTAACTTGTTGAAGTACTTTTCAGCTGCGGCTGTGTATTTTTCCATTGCGATAAGATCTACATAAACACCATTCTGGCTGGCAGAAAATTTTATGTGTTCCTTCTCTCCATCTACTCAAAGATCTACAAGGACTGAAAAATAACTTACTCATTACGGTCCGTCAAACATAGGCAAGTGAAATATTAACATAAAATATATAAGTAATAACTGTTTATTTTATTTTATTTTATTTATTATTATTTTTTTACTAAATTATCTATGATCGGCTCAAAACAAACAATATAATTTTTGGAGAAAATTACTAGAATAGCACTAAAAAAAGTTTTTGTCACAAATATAGCACCTAAGAATAAAAATGACCAAAATAGCATTTAATGTTTTATCAAAAAAGATAATTATACACCTATATCCCAAGGGACGACTGCATATTCCCACCTCTAATTATCATAACCCTATTAATTTCCACCCATACTATCTACCTCTTGAGAAAACCACTCATATATATGAATTATCTTTTCATTTCCCCCTAATCTAGTTAGTTATGCGTAGATCTCCCTTTCTAATCTAGTTTCAAAATCAAAATTAAAAATTGGTTAATTGCGTTTAGAAATTAGCGATTGCCCATTAAACAAATTACAGTCCGACCCGACCCATCAACATCCAACCCGGGAATAGATTTGGGTGTAAATAAAAATTATGGTTTTGTTTGTCTCTTTCGTCAAGATACAGAGACAACAAGTCAACAAC